ACCAATGCAGTGCTGTCTGCAGTCAAGGAAGGGCAAGCTCATGCCATGTCTAAATGGGGACACTCAGGAAAGTTAAGACCAATCAACTAAAGGTGTGAAGTTAATGCAATAAGGCCTGGTCTACATTAGGGGTTTGTCTACACTTAAAACACTGCAGCAGCACAGCTGTGCTGCTGTAGTATTTCAGTGAAGACACTATCTAAGTTGATGGAAAGGATTCTCCCATCAGCATAGGTACCTCACCTGAGAAACGGTCGCTAGGCAAGTAGTTTAAGGTGAAACTTGGGGTAGGTAAGACAAATCAGATTCCTGAAAGAGGTACAGTTGTCTGGAAAGGTTGAGAGCAACTGTACTAGACTACCAAGAACACACTGTCCAGGGGAGTATATAACCCACACCTGCTCTGTCTCCCAACTAGGGGGTGACTGGGCCATATAGAGGTTGATAAGCCTGCTACAACCCAAATATAAAAAAGTTGGTTTCTTAAAATACTCAATATATTTATTTTTCTGACCTAAAAGCCAGATCCTCAAGCCAAAGTAACTAATTTGTACCGCTCTGAGGGGGCACAGGGGAATCCCAGTGACAAAAAGGCAGACTATCAAGTCCTGTGTTACCTAGAGAAGGTGTTGGGGCTAGCAGAGGGCATGGGAAGAATGCACTGCACTCTAAACCAGGGGGGCTAACCTGTGGCTCCGGAGCCATATGTGGCTCTTCAGAAGTTAATATGCAGCTCCTTGTATAGGCACCAACTCCAGGGCTGGAGCTACAGGCGCCAACTTTCCAATGTGCCAGGGAGTGCTCACTGCTCAACCCCTGGCTCTGCCACAGGCCATGCCCCCACTCCACCCCTTCCCAAACTTGCCATGCCCTCGCTCCTCTCCCCGAGCCTCCTGCACACCAGGAAACAGCTGATTGGGAGGTGCGTGGAGGGAGAGGGAGGCGATGATTGGGTGGGTGGGAGGCACTGGTAGCGGGGAGCTGACGGGGGGCTGTTGACGTATTACTGTGGATCTTTGGCAAAGTACATTGGTAAATTCTGGCTCCTTCTCAGGCACAGGTTGGCCACCCCTGCTCTAAACATTCTAGATCACAATGACAGTTCCAAAAAGCCAGTTCCAGCCAGCACAAGATAGTGCTACTGCCCTCCGAACTAGCAAGGCGGAAAAGTGACATGCCACTTCTCCCAACCCCTTAAGTTGCATGTGAAAATGTTGGTCTGCAGTTACTCAAGAAACAGGGGAAATAAAGATGTAAAGGTAATTTTATTGAAGGTTTTAGTATGTACACTTAAAAACACATCAAGCTATGTAAAGGGCAGTCTCAGTTTCAAACACAGCAACATGAAACAGTTCCTTCCCCATTGAACAGTTTAAAATATTTTTGTTGTTGCTTTAAAGCAAGCCAACCACAGCATCTCAGTGTGATTTTACAGATGCCTTGTCAATGCACTTCTGGAAAGCCCCTTCCCCCTCATGTTTTAAGATTTATTCTTTATTCAGTTTCATCAAAACAAGATTACATTATTGGTAATAATCACAGCTGCCATCAAATGGTGCTTTTTTGGTACCTGAACACTTTGCCCCTTCAGCCTAGCTGCTCCTCTATTAGTTACAATTCAGTATTCTGCCTGTCCACAAGAGTTGATCTACTTACAAGCCAAAAGAACAAGGTCCAACTTGCAAGCCAAAAGAAACTGGTCAATCTGACTTTAAGCACACCAGCAACCCTTTAGTCTTTCCCTATGCTTTTGCAGTCATTGATCCCCAGCATGCCTCTGGTAAAGTCAGGGCAAAGCTGCCATAGTTTAGACATGTAGACAAATCCCACTGGAGACCTATTTAGAACAACTCCTTTCTCATGATCTTCTAGACCAACTCTGAACCCAAATAATTGTTTAACCGATTAAAAATATTAGAGATTTTCAGAGCAAGGATTGAATTTAGCATTTTTAAGATCTGGAAAACAAACCTTTAAAGCTAAATTTAAGACCACTGGAAGAGTTAAGTCATGTCACTACATGTGCTTAAAGTGATATTCTAAGGCAATCCATTAAGTAGGCTTTACATAAGGGTAATGCTGTACAAGTTAGTGAGAATGGTTTCACAAAACAAGTTATTAGTGATTAACTAGTATAATAGTTCCTTATAAAGGTTTCTTGAATTTAGTACGCATATCAAAAGGCATAAAGTGTTCTCTTCTGCATTGTTAAATGTCAAGATTAAAACCATCAGTAGTCATTCTATACGTTTATTAAAGAATTTCTTAAAGAAATTCTTTTTAACACTACACTAACTAGATTGAAATCAAGTTCATTTAATTTTGTCTATGTTTTACAAAGTCAGTTTATTGATAACGGTCATAGAATTACATAAAAATAAAAAAATCCATTCTTGAAATAATCTTCAATTTTAAATTAAGCAAGATATTTGGAGAGAACTGCATAAGCTTTTTCCTTTTCATTTTCTAAGTGGGGAAAAAAGGCATTCAATGCACCTTTGCTTAGTTATTTGGAATATAATCTGTAGCAGACATTTGATGTATAAAATGAAATTGGGAATTTATATATAGAGAGTTTTCAGAGTAGCACCTCAATACACTATTCAAGTTGAAATTATCAATAGACTTAAAAAAAAAGTGAACAGGAGGGTCTTATCAATGAGCATTTTCCCCAGAAATCAGCTTTAAGGCCTCCCTTCCATTCTCTTATAAACTCTTTATGTCTGGTATTTTACTAGTTTAAACCATTTCATTTCCCTCTTTGGGCCTTTTTTTTTTTTTTAATCTTTGCAATTAAATTTCTCCTACAGCTTATAGCAACACAAGGTGCGATGCAGGATATTTTGCAATCATAACATCTTAGATTACTGCTCATTTAAATGCAGAACCTGAAGCAACCTCCAGTGTCAGACTACAGTATCCTATATCATCTTACATAGGAAACAATTTATATAGCCAAGGTGTCTTCCTTTGCTGAAGACACACTCAGTTTGTTTTCACATACAGCAGTTACATAAAAATCAGTAAGATAAAGGTTTGTCTTGTAAAGTTCTCCTCTAGTTCAGCATGACTGTAAAAAGGCACAAGACTCCAAGAGAATATTCTACTGCAGTCAAGCTCTTTCCTCTCCCACTCTGAATTTTGTCTTAGCTGTACGGTAGGTGCCAGATAAGTGATATGCACTGAAAACACTAGCATACAATGCATATTTCCAAATTAATATAGCCACAGGCAACATGTGTTATATCTTCCTATTAAAAAATAGAAACCTAGACTTCAAGATAAGCAAAAGTGCTTCTTCCAGCTTTGCTTTATACACTAAGTTGTTTGCTTGTTGTTCAATACTGCACATTTCTCTCCGGTGTGGTGGTTGAAAGTTTCTTGGTGGGATTTTTTTTTTTTTTTTTTTTTTTTTTAAGTCTACCACCACTCTCTCACCTCATATTACTGCAGCAAAGGTGCTGGTATTTACTTTCCTGTTTATTTACATCAACAGGAGAACAAGAATGTTAACTGCAGTAATGTGGGGCTGAATGGTAGGCAGAAGCTAAAGTGCTAGATCACCAGTCAATCACTAGTTATTGACTATTAAGGAGGTACTGTAATGGTCATATCAGACACTTTCTAGTAAAAGTCTTTTGTTTGGTTTTTTTGCACCCTCTAAACACAATATATATTACATTGCGGCTATCTGCAATCCAAAAAATAAAAAAAATCCAGAATGAAAGCATCTGTGTGTCACGTACAGCAAAGACACCATCAATACTAAGTAAGTTTTAACATTAAAAGTTTACTTTATATTAAAATGTATTATTTAACAAATTTAAAGAATTCTATTTTAAGTTTTTTTGGATGAAAGGTACTATAGACAAACTGTATAGACAGACTTGTCCATTTTAAAGATCCACTTCAATTTTAGCCAGGATTCCATTTTCTTTCTGTATTAACTTTTAGACAAAGTAAACATCCATTAGATTGAACTTCCTTCTAATAGTTTAAAAGGAAAGGAGGAGCTTTAAAGGCTATTTTAATTGATGGAGTTGGCAGAGTAAAGTGCAGGGCTTTAAGAAGCAACAGCTTCCACCACACTGAAAAGCAGCAATAAGACTAAGCAAGCACAGAACGAATAGGGCACGGGAATTATTTCAGCCTCAGACAGCACCCCACAGATCCAAGCACACCAGTAGCCAACCACCACCACCCTTAGCCTTCCAGTCATTACACTGTTACCACACAACACCGGAAGCTGGTTCCTGCCTCCATCTCCCAATACCACACACTCACCATAGTTATGAGGCAGAAGAGGACAAGAGAGACAAGGAAGGGAAATCACCTCAAATTGCCAATCCTTCCCATCCATTCCAGTGTTTCCCGAGGGAGAGACGAAGGCTAGAAGCCACGCTTGAAACTTACCAAAACAAGGGCTTTGAGATCTCACATCCAGGCTGGCCCCTGGTCCCCAATCACCGTCCCCCATTCATCCCAGTTTACCTCAAGTAATTCACCGCCCCCCACTCAGCGGAGGCGAAGAGGAGCAGCAGAGAAACCCCCGAGCACTCCTGTAGTTTCGGCTGTCGCCACAGGGACCTCCACTCAAATTGCCAGGCCTGGGCGTGTACCTGATAAGGGACAGGGACTTGGGTAGCCCTTCTATCTCCGGGCCCCACAGCCTCTACTGCTGGTGCAGGGAGCGCCCTCCCAGCCACACAAACACACCCCTCAAACTTCTCCTGGCAAGGGGAGGGAAAGAGAGCGCTCGGACCCGCAGATATGGCAATCCCTCAGTCCTCGCCCCCCCACAAACGAGGAGCGCCCTCCGCCTCAGCCGCCAAGGGAGGCACGGCCAGCACAGGGGCTAGAGATGCCCCTCAGACCCTCGCCCCACACTGTTACCTTCCCCCCAAGCAATAGTCCTTCCACCGCCCCCCAGAACTGGAAAAGGAGGAGAAAGAGCTAGGACTCGACCCCTGGTGTGGACCCCCCCCGCGCGCCCTACTCACCAGGGAAGGGAGCCAGAGCTCGCTAGCGTCTCCTTTTCCCCAAGTCCCCCACACTCAGCTCCTCGCCGCCATTTTCCTCCTTGCCTGAGTTTAAATAGGAACCAGCCTCTCGGAGAGCCGCCGCCAGCCACAGCCAGACTCAGCCCGGCCACCGCGGGGCATTATGGGAGGTGTAGTTCCAACCCGCGCGGGATCCAATGGGACCTGTAGTCCTGACGCGACCCCTGCCCCTTCAGCGCGGCTCACCATGGAACCTGGAGTCCTCCGCTGAGCCACACACCCCCTTTTAAACTTCACCTCCCAGTGGCCTCCGCGGCTGCCCGCCAACCGGTGGCCCCGATGGCGATTTTTTTTCTTAAATCATTCTGTTTCCGGCGTCCGACTTCCTGGTTCTGGGGCGTTACATAATAACACCGGTGACGGGGCGGGAACGCAGCGTTGTGTGAACCTCCCCAGTGGGACCTTGTCTCTCTCTCTCTCTCACACCCCCCCCTTAACCCTAGCTGAGACCCCCGCACAGAGGCTGAAGGAAAAGGGACCAGTCTAGCGGCGCCGGGGCTGAGGTGTTCGCCGGCTGTCACTCCTGCCCAGGGTGCGGGGGGAGTTGTGTGGGAGGCCCCGGCTGCGCACAGCCCTGTGGTAGGAGGGCCGCCTTTGACCATCAACCAGCTTTTGTCTGTCTCTCGAGGGTTCTCTTCAGGTTCGCGTCAGTATTACTAGGACTGTGGCTCGCTTGATGTCCACAAAGGGCTCAACTGCCCGGTAAGGCCCCGACCTTACCAGAGAGCTTTTCTCTGGGGTCAAGGGACTGAAGGGGGAAGGGGACTCGACAAACATTTCTACAGAATTCAAACTGTCGTTTCAAACAATCACCCAAGCAGCTTAGAGGCCTTAAAAGTGGTGAGTCTGTCTCGCCCCGCGCTGCGGGAAGAGGGCTTTGCAAGTGGCCCTCGCCTCTGCGATTACCTCAGCGCTGTTTGCTACATCCCTTGGAGTAGGTCAGATGCGTATGGGGTTATCAAGGGCTGCCCCTTGCTGCATGAAGAGTTATAGCAAAGACGGTGGCCAGCTTCATAGGGGAGAAAAGCAGCAGCCACCATCTCGTTTTTATAACGTGGAAACGCAGTGATTTGTACTCAAATCATGTTGTATCTTTAGTACAGGGACCTAAACATAACTCACTCATTTTTAGGATTCATGTTAAGGCATTCTTGTGTTGAGGGAGAGTTTCCCCACACGCATACTGCAACTACTGACATGAAAAATTAATTTCATGGCAAGTGATCTGCCATCTTATTTGTTCCTTAGTAGTTTCTTGATTGAGATTAAGGCAGGATAAAAAACAGGGATAAATGATCTAATTAAGGACTGTGTATATGCAGGGGAAAGGAAAACCAACTTTTTTCATTAAATACAGTTATAGAAATCACAAAATTACAATTAATACTGGAACAATTTCTGCTATTTCTTCTAGATAACATGTGGCATGTAAGTTAATTCCTACAGCTGTCTGTTACCAAACTTACTTTTATCTCTGAATTTCAACTAACTAGGCATAGACAAACACAATCTTGTATATTTATATTACAGTAGTTCAAGATATGGAAATTATATGCATCTTGTACTTGAATATAAGCCTTCTACAATGTGCAAGGCAGTTCTACAAGTTAAATCTTATTAGTATATGGTGGAAAGGAGAAAATTCCACCTCTAAATTTATATCAGTGTAAATTAGTAATAAACCATTTACCTAATTAAAAAAAACCTTTTCAAATTGAAATTTTTGGAACACTTAGAGCAACTGGTGACTGTATTCTAGTTAAACAATTCTATTTAACTATTGAAAAGTAGCCTGTGATAAATCTGGACTACCAATGAGAACAGTGGAAAGCGCTCAGCACCCAGCTTCTGGGAGTCCGACCAATTTAAACTGTCTCAGGTTAGAAACCCAGAAATATCCAAAATCACAATTTTTTTTAAAAATAGGTCTAAATATGGAATGGTTTATACATTCTTGAGGAGGATAGATCCATTTGCCAATAATATAAGAGTAAGAAGCCTTACTGCAGAAGGACCTACTAGACTATAATTCGGACAGCAAAGCTGCATAATGTTATAAATTATAATATATGTATTTGAATTCACATTCTGGCTGAGGATAATTCAGATGCTGTAGAAATATCATTGAGAATTCAAAATTCAATGTAACTATTGTAGATGTATTTTAGAGACTTTCACTGTTTAGAGGTTAAATATGTAAAATCTAAATATTGAAATATGTTCAATATTAATCCTGTAATTTACAACAAATGAGCAGACTTGCACCTACATGGAGCTCCATGGAAGACAGAGGGGCTCCATGTAAATGTAGAAGACGATCTACACCGTATAGATTGCCTTAGATTCAGAGATAGGCATTAACTTTATTTTTATGCATCTTTAAGCCCTGATTGCTTAGGTTCTGATTAAGGAATGTATGCGTGAATGTAGGCATATTCCTGGGAATAATGTATACTCCAAATATAAATTTCAATAAAAACACATTTGTGCCTCAACATTACTTGATGAAGCTACAAACTTAGCTTGAGAACACCAGCCAAATTGCCCCCTCAAGAGCACATTAGAAACATCCTTTTCAGAAACAGGGTAAGACTTCCTGCAGCCAGATGAATTAAGGAATGGGTTTCATTTGAAGTACTTTCCAATTCCATAATTGGAAGTAAGTAGAGCCCCACCTTAACTACTTTTCAGGAGGTAAAAGGATGTATAAAAGTAATTACTAAAGAAAGAAAAACAAGATGTCTTTTCAATGATTTATGGTCCTTATGGATAAAGTTACTGAAGTCTTGTATATTAAAAGTCCTCAAATACAAGAAAATGGGTTCTCCTTGCCTCCACTGCTAGCAAGGACTGGGGCAGACAGGTCATGAGCCCTTTACAGACTTTCAGTAATTGTACACATGCATCACCTGATAGTGGTAGACCAAATAAGTATCCAGTTCTTAGCTGGAAGTTGATTCCTTTATGTCAGAACCCAAATTGGTTAGAAATAAAATAATTATGAATTACAAGAATCAGTATCCTGATGACTGTTTAGCACCTTCCAAAAGACATAAATGTTTGCCTACTAGGATAGTGCTTACTCAGATGAAGTTATCCTTCGTAGAATCAGCTCTGGCTCAGGTGTGTCAACCAAGGACTATCCAGATACACATACTTTAGAAGGGATGATGCTTTATGCTCCTAGAGGCCTGATATTTTGCTCAAAGTTCTGTTAAATGTTAATGAGCAGCTGTATTTATAAATACTATTGCACTTTAGGTATTTTAGTATTTAATTTTCCAGTGCTTCAGGAAGGCTCCTGGGGAAAATATTTGATTCATCTCAAGTGGCAGATCAAGTAGGAATCTAGAAAAAGCTCTAGAACTCCACAGGTCCCAGTAATAAAACCTGTATCTACCTTTCCCTCCTTTATTCCTAAAACATGAGATTTAATTTTTTTCCCCCAAGACTGCACATTTCCTTAATGTTGCATGGAGGATACTCCTTTAGTTGATTCCACATCCATTTTTAATGTATTACTTAACATGCTTCCTGCAATTTAGAGGGTCTTTTTTTTCCCTGGAATCAAACATAAATTTCTAAATTAGTCATTTCTTCAAAGTGCAGTTTTGTTGTGAAAAGTGACATTCAATCTACTTTGTGTACAGTAGATTCTATTTGGGCTCATGCATTATTGACAAAATTGAACTATGGTCTGCCTGAAAATTCTATAGCAGAGGTAGGCAACCTATGGCATGAGTGCCAAAGGCGGCATGCGAGCTGATTTTCAGTGGCACTCACATTGCCCGGGTCCTGCCCACAGTCCGGGGGGTCTCTGCATTTTAATTTAATTTTAAATGAAGCTTCTAAAACATTTTTAAAACCTTATTTACTTTACATACAATAGTTTAGTTATATATTATAGACTTATAGAAAGAGACCTTCTAAAAACGTTAAAATGTATAACTGGCACGCAAAACCTTAAATTAGAGTGAATAAAAGAAGACTCAGCACATCGCTTCTGAAAGGTTGCCAACCCCTGTTCTATAGTTAGTGCTGCATGAGCCAAAAAGAACCAAATAGATTCCAGGTTGAGGATGGGATTTTCAAAAAAGCCTATGAGCACAATTACAATTGAAAGTCAATGAGTCAGGCTCTTCTTTTTTGGGGGTGGGGGGAGGGAGTCTCACCATGCATATACTACACTGAGTTAATGTTTGTAAAGCACTGTATATATACAGTATTATTTGCAAGATGGCACCCCTTTGCATTTGAGTTAGAATTCTCAGAGAGCCTACAATTGTCATGCAGGCATAGTATAGATGCAGCCTATGCTGATGGAAGTTTTTGTGTTAGTTTAGGAACACCACATTCCCAAACAACATTACCTATGTAGACAGAAGCACTCGTCTATCAACATCACTGCATCTACTCTGGGGCTTTTGTTGGTACAGGTATGTCAGGCAGGGGTGTGTTTTTTCCCCTACATATCTGCAGGGGTCAGACATAACTTTTAAGTTTAAACAAAGCCTAAATATAGATATGCTGCACAGCTGTAAAAATTGCAACTTACCTGCTTTATATTGGTGCAAGTGTGTCTACATAAGGGCTTAGCAGCAATGCATTTGTGTAGCTGCACTTCTGGGGAGTGGTGTGTGGGGAAGGGGAGAAACAAATCTAATGTAGAAAATTCCTCTCAGCCACTGTCTGGACCAGCATAGAAGGATCATGTGCACTATGGAGACAGAAGAAAGAGGTGCCTCTTGGCAGCAGACACTAAGCAAAGATTATCAACAGGAAAGAGATAAAATGTTGGAAAAGGAATAAACCCAGATGCACTTTGCATAATTATGTGCACACTTTTTATAATACTTTCTCCATAGACACTGTTAATGCTTTTCAGATGGCTGGACTACTTAATTGACCAAACTACAAAAATCAACTGATTTAGTGTAGTAATAAAACATGGATTTAATGGCAACAAAAAAATTAAATTACAGAATTAAAAAAGTATCATAAATACATATCAAACATTTACAGAATACCAGCAACACTTTCTATGGA